TAAGGTATTAATGCATTGAAAGGTTACAGCAAATAGAAAAGGTTTTGTTAGTATAACCAGGCCTGTTCATCTCCGCGAGTTTACATTGAAAACAAAACACGCACGATGGCCCACCTACAGTGTACCAACCATGAGTTTACGTTGAGTGTGCTCGCTAGCGAGTACGTCAAAAATCTCTATGAAGATTTTGTTTCTTGTAAGTAGCCGCTAGGGGCGCTGCACAATATGTCATACCATTAATGTCATTTTTTTACGCAGTCGCTAGCGAGCACACCTAACGTAAACTCATGGTTAGCACTCTGGACACTATTCGACAAGGCCTCACATACGAGCGAACATTGACTGACGCACGCGTATTCTTGTGTATGATGGAAGAAAATAAAGAAAATGGTGTACTAAATACTGTGCAGTATTTAACTGCCTAAATAATAATAAAAACACAGAATGTACTTTTTTAAGTTGCCTCAAGACACTGGGAGGTAAATAAGTAGTTAATATTATTCATGATAATTCATGCTAAATCATGTATTTCCTCCGCCATTTTCCGCAGTTTGGTACCTCACGTCACATCATTTTACCGAAGTCAGCCCTATAGCTTCGGCGCAGTGCCGATCACTGACGTTTGTCAACAAAATGGTGCTTGACTTTTGAGACAGGCTAAATTACACCATATTGTTAATGACATTGAGCATACATTTGTTTAAATACCTTCGCGAAGTAAAACTTCTGTACGTAGTACTTATTATTATTCTGTGGTATAACGTGAAATGTCAATATATCGTTCATAAAAGACAATTGATTTGTATATTGATGGATACTTCCCTACTCATTTTTATTTTATTTATACGAATAATATTAAACCTAACAAAATATATTGGATAAGAAACCAGTACAAATAGAAGATTTTCAGAATCAATTACTTTAATAAAGTATCAAAGGCTTTTTAGTTTTAATTATAATAATAAAAATTACGTCACAGAGCCAAAGTCAGTAATTACATTACGTCATTGCTAGGCTAGTTGTTTGTATGACATAATTTCAATTTTATAAACTGTGTCAGAGGATCGTGGTACCTAATTGTTAATAGAGCTTGCACAATATCTGAGAACTGGTATTTATGTTTAATAAAACACAGCCCTTTTAGATTATTGGTTATGGCAACACTATAACAGGTACAAGGAGCTAATATTCTGTTACATCACTGAGTATTACGGATTTTGAGTAATTTAGTTTAAATATAGTTATTTTATTTGATAATACAGTTAATGGTAGGATGAATGAGTTTTAAAGTAGTAAGATATTATTACTTTTCTTCTTTACTTGATATTTCCATCTGGACGTCCTAGATTCTGTTTTCAGAAGGTATGGTCGAGACTAAGCACACCTAGTATGTCCTATTTTAAGATAGGATTATATTTATTTTCTGGTAGTTATTTTTATGCGATAGTAACATATTATTTTGTGTCTGTATTTAACGTAAGAAAAGCAAGTTGTTTATATTTTACTGATAGTTTCATATTTGAAAAATATATCTCAATAAAAACAATACGTTACATGAATTGCGCGATTTTTTCTCACTCGACCGGTACAATTGAATGAAAAAATTGATGTAATAAACGTACGATTACTACGTTTCCATTGTTCTTTTTGTTTTGTTCTATTTATTATTATTTTAAATGCTTTATCCCAGCCTTGCCGGCCCGGTCAAGGTCCCCTTAACTTATAGACATATTTTTCGTTATAATGAAGGTACATGTGGTAGGCTAGCATTGAAAATGAAAAATCTGTATTCAATTTGTACAATATTTGACACTTATGAATGTCAGAATCATAAAATGTAGGGCTCTCTACATGTCTCCTTATCTTTTGGGCTCGCTGACCTCTTTACTTATGAAGATACATAGTTACGAATGGTTGCTCTCTCAAGTAAATATGGCTGAACGAAGCTTGATGTAACTTTACAAAATTAAAAGCTCATAACAGAATAACACTAAGCTATCGTCTAAGGCTGGTTGCACCACCTTAATTTAACTTTGACAAACGTCAAAAATCTGTCAAACTCCATAGAAAAACACCGGTTATCGTTTTAATAACGGTCAAAGTTAGGTGATTCAAATCAGCCTAAGTCGCGGGCAACAGCTAATTATGTAGTTAGATAACATTTTAGTATTGGACTTGCTGTATCAACTTCCACTGCGGTCTCACGATTAAGAATAACTTAATATCAGCGCCATTGTTGTAAAAGATATACATCTTTTTTATGCAAAAATGTATCGATCGATTGTACTTCTAAAATGTCCGTCAGAAATGTAATTCGTAGGCCAACTGCGTATCGAAGGGAGTAATGTCAGTTATTTCGATTGACCTTTGATTGATATTGTATTCGAGTTATTATTTACATTATCGGTATTATTATTACCTGTAATTACTTTACGCTTGGAAAATTTGAAATATTACATTGCAAACCGATTCATTGACAAGGTAATACGTCAAAGTATTATTATAATGACATAGTGTCTGGAGTTTTTATAAAATAGATTGTTATTGGGAGTAATAATTTATTTCCGCGTAATAGTTCGTAGCTTAAATTAATAAAACTTCAAACAAAATAACTAATTCTAAATGAAAAAGGTCAACACCTATATTGTAGTAAAAACTTTATTTCCAATTAAAAGTTGCATCGTGTTTTGGTACAGTTAGCGTCAAATATACTCAACATCAAATAAACCGCACCTTCCGCGACGCGAACTTTAAAGATTTTCTTTTAACACAATCATGGTGCCCCAACATATATTGGTGTTATTTAAATACATTTATTTTTTTATAAACATTTAACAGGTACCATAAATGTGATTTGAAAAAAGGCCTCACTTGGGGTTCACCTCTGGGAACAATTAGACCAATTTTTGTGGTTATAAAACCAAATAATGATATTACGTGTGATTTTTAACAGTTGGATAGCAATTAATCACAATTTAACAATTTTATAGCCATAAAATTTGGTTCAAGCGTAACTACCTATTTTTTGAAGAAGTGACTCTGGATCCTTCTAAAGACACATTTTTGGGGTAAAAACCTTTCCTTTAATGAAATGAAGATTAGAACTAGGCTTTCAAATGGAACCAATGTTGGTGGGAAGTGGGGATGCATACGTTTGAGAAGTGCTTGTTGTGGGAGGTGCGATTTATTTGATGCCGAGTGTATTTCGTAGCACTCAAAGTGGCCGAAAAGTTGACAACACATCCTTATTCTAACGCCCGTATTCACAAACGATGCTTGCTTAAGTGTAGTATCAAATCGAATGCACAGCGTTGAATAGAGCTCTGTGATTGGTTCGTGTGTCACCCTATAGAGTCTACGCGCAGTGTGTGACCTCATAGTAATGTTTGTGAATAAGGGCGTAAGTGTAACAGAGACGTGTTGCGAACTTTTTGACTACTTTGAGAGTCACGAACTATTAGACCAGTGGTTCTTAACCTTTAAGTCATGAGGGACCATTTTACCAAATTTCTGTTTTGTCAGGGACCACGAAAGGTTAGACAAACTTCGTGGGTGTATAGGTAAGGTCATTTTGAGAATAAGAATGATTTTTTTTTAAAATCCTATGAAAGCGGAGGTCGATTTCTCGCCCACTGTGCGCCGCTTGCGTTGTGCTGTCTCTACTCATCACGTCACATCACTTGTTTCTTACGACGTCTTTGCGGACCACTTGGAATGCCTCCAGGGACCACCAGTGGTCCGCGGACCACCGGTTAAGAACCACTGACTGTACCACCTAAACGTTTTTCTTTCTTTACATTTTCAAGCTATCAAAATTATGTAAGTATTTTTATTATACGTATTATATTGTTATTGTTTTGAGAATTATTACGAATTAAACGAAATCTAATTGATTGTTTAATTGGAACGAGTGTATTATACAATGGCAGAGTGTAAAAAATTGTTATTTGACTCCATGCGGGTCAATTATGATCAATTAAAATGCTTTTTATTTATGTTTCTTAGGTTTAAAATTAAAATTATTGGTATTTAGCTTAGGCCCAGAACAGACGGTGAAACGCAACTGCAACGAAACTGCAACTTTCTGGTGATTCTGATGAATGAAACTGAAACTGAAAGTTTCAAACTGGTCGCGTCATGTGTGGTCTCTCAACGGACGCTATGGCAGAAACTTAGATGCAACTTAAAAGTAACTAGCAGTTGCAGTTGCGTTTCACCGTCTGTTCTGGCCCTTAGAGTTAGGTAATTGGTGTGATAGTTGGAACAATCATTTATTATTATTAATTATTACTCGTATTTTATATGTTAAATATAACAATGCAAAAAAGCTAGTCTGATTTGAACAGGATTTTTAAAGTTTTTTCCTTTTGATCGTTCGCATACAGGATAACTATGTCAGTCGCGGGTTCGACCTCCACACAATACATCTTGCTTCTGGTAAATTGGAGACCGTCATGCTCCTGCAGTGGATACAATTATTTTTAATTTATTCCCGTTAACTCCTCGTATTAGGCTAAATATGTTAAGAGTAGATTCGCACATAGGGTTGCCAAGTGTCATGTATGTTTGGCTTTTTACGGTCTTGTCCGGCCAAATTTTGTCTAGTCCGACCGGCTTTTTATGTAGCTGCCGCGCATAGGCGAAAGTCGATCTACAGAATAATATCAAGCGAGTCACTCGTGAGCCAGCNTAAAATGTCCGGCCAAATGAAGCAAAGAGTCCGGCTTTTGTGTTTTTGGACCTGGCAACCCTATTCGCACATAATAGTCTAGCGGCGGCGGGGTTCAAACCCACATTCCCCGGATCTTTTACTCGGGTCGGCCAGTCCGACACCTTCACCATTCGGTTATTGTCGCTTTCAAATGACCAGTGTGCTTACCATGACTGTTTATACTTGTCACTACGAATTGTACAGCGCCCCTAGCAGTTACTTTCAAGCACTAAGATCTTCATAGATTTTTTACACACTCGCTAGCTAGTTGGTGATGATTGGTACTTACGTCAGTATCCTGCCTGCTTCAGGGTTTCTGTAGATGTCGCACTTGTGGAGCGGGTGAGACGGATCTCCCGCGATGAACTGCCCGGTGCGTTCGCAGAGTGCCCGGTAGATCTGGAACTGCAGGATCGTGCTCACGAAGTATCTGTGGGCAAAGTGAGAAACGTTTTAGTTATCGGTGACACAATGAAACAAACCTCCAGTTAAATGAGACCTCTTGTTTACATGTGGCTGCGTTAATAGAGAGATTATGATACATCTCAAAAATTTCTTATTTAATATTAATCGAAGTAAAATGTGAAAAATTTTAGGTAACGTGCTGCAAAATAATGAAGACTTGTATCTTTGAGGCTGGGTTGCACCATCTTACTTTGATTTTAACAAACGTCAAAAATCTGTCAAACTCCATACAAAATACATCGGTTATCGTTATAGTCACGGTTAAAGTTAGTTGATGCGACTCAGCCTTAGTAACGCATAAACAAGACAGACACAAATACAAGCAAAGGGGTTTACATACATAATTTGTTTTAACCTAAAAACCACGCAATTACTTAAGTAAAATAAACACGGGCATGTTCGAATAACCAAAATGTGGATGTTTTTACTTTAAATTCATGTTCCTCTGAAAACACAAGTTATTTTCGTACCCTGCTTACAAGCAATTTTCGTACAGTCCAGTAAGTGGCCGGCCGTAGACAATTTTCCACTCTGTCAAGCAAATTAATCGGTGCACCAGTTAGCGGCGATTTGTTGGACATAATCGCTTGGACAGCTCGTGCACAATACAAGGAGTTGCAGCAGGTTGCATCTAATAGTAATTCGTGCATTGTCTTTCTTACTTTTTTGTGTGACTGTTTATCTGTGTATGAAAATTATTTGTCCCGCGGGACAAACTTGACCGCCACTGGTTGGGTTTTTATTGGCGGTCAAGCTGTAGATCCTGGCTACACAGGAGATGCAGCGGTGGGAACGAGAGATGGGAATAGTTCGCGTTTTTCTTAGCTCTAATCTATCATTTACTGTTCACTATAACGAAATAGACTAGTGTTAATGTGGTCCTCAAGGAACTTTAAACTCTTAGGACCCACATTTTGAAATTGGAAAGCGTTTCTTGATTATTTATGAAATGTAACAGTAGAATGGGTAGGCCTCTACCCGTTGCCTGATAACATAATGAGTGAGGGATGCAAACAATCCAGGGTCTGGATACGTTCTATAGGGAACGCCTTAGTCCAGCAGTGGATTAAAAAAGGTGATTTTATTTATCTTAGCTGTGTTTAAATTGAACGAACACGTGTGATAAGGCGAAAATTTAGAATATGATTCATCTTGGTTTAGAGCGTGTTCTAGGTATAAGTTTCATTCGATATGTCTTGGGGTGAAGTGGAATAATAGAAGCATGGCAGATTACTGTGTAAACTTCTATTGTGGCTTGTAGGAAGCCCGATGCAAATATATACCTTGATTACACAATTTAAATAGGAATCTGGACCATGATTCATCAATGCATTGAAGCTGTTTAATTATTCTGTGAGAGGCATAATATTGCAAGCAGTAAAAGTGGGTTATGTAGTCCCTTGGGTGTTGGGAACCCAACCCGGTAGTACTCAATGTACTTAGAACGAAGTTGATTTGTAATTACTATTGTAATTAACCATATGAAAAAAAAAGAAAATGAAAATGAAATATTTTATTCAGCGACACAAAACAGCATCAAAAATATTTAACAAAAGTAAAGAGAGTAGGTAATGTGCGTGTCACCGAAACGGTATCCACTCAGCATCATGTCGAGGTGTCGTAAGGGACACCACGACGCTGGTCTTCCGTGGATACTCGGAGGGCAAGAGGCACTGCTATAACACAGCAATACTACTCCGGTTGCAGTACAAGTAACACAGTTATCACTAAAAAAACACACCGATTTCCTTACTGGTAGGCGAAGAATACAACACTGTTACTTAATGAACAAAGACTAGGTAGGTACAGTCGACAGCACATCAGGCTACACACTCCGATTGCATATTGTACCTATTTGCAGTGGGTAATGCAATCCGGACCCATTTAAAGTTGAATATTGTTCGTGAAATTTAATTCCATAGGACAAGGTATTGCTACATTGCGTTACTCGGGATAAGAAGGGTTTTTAGATTTGACGATTTCGACCTTATTGCATTATAAGTAACTAGCGGCCGCCCGCAACTTCGTACGCGTGGATCCCGTTTTACCCCCTTAGGGGTGAAGTTTCGTTAAATCCGTTCTTAGCGGATGTCTACACTTTACCCTACTTGCAAAATTTCAAGTTTGTGGTTTTTATAGTTTCTGAGATTTAGTGACTAATCAGTGAGTAGTATTTCGCTTTTTTATCTAGGTAATTACAGTTTAATAATAAATTTAGTGATGCCTCGATTCAAAATACATAGTAGCTAGGTAGGTACTTGTGTTTTTTTTTTTTTTTTAAAGATTATTAGTAATTTGTTATTTCACAAATTACTAATACTCCCGTTAGCCCCTCGTACTAAGCTAAATATGCTTGTGTCACGAGTGAGCCCACCACAATAGTCAAGCGGCGGCGGGGACCGAACCCGCGTTCCCCGGATCACGAGTCGGCCAGTCCGACCCCTTCACCGTTCGGCTATCGTGGCATTAAATTAAATTAAAAAAAATAATTTAAAATATTAAATCATGTATGAAACAAAATCCAGTTTTTAAATATGATTTCTTAATATTTAATAATATTGTAGTTTGCTTGTAAATGCTATACAGTACAAGTTATAGCTGTCTTTACACAAGTAAGACAAATTACAATATGATTAAATACTGATTTGTTTGAATGCAGCAAAAAAGTAAAGCGGTTTTGCAAGTGATGTTATGCTATTTTGGTTGGTTAAAGAGGAAAAATAAATGAGTTTTCGTGAGTTTTTCAATAGGTCAAATTTAAATTCAAAATTCAAATAGTTTATTCAGTACATAGGCCCTTTGTAGGGTATACACGTCCCAAATATAGCTTGCCCTACCACCACTTCGGGACAACATAATAATATGGGCTGGTACTGAGAAGAAGTGGCGGAAGAAACTCAGTCACCTTTGTCAGCCTCTTATTTAATAAAATACAGTAATTATAAAGGTTTCGTCATATTTTCAAGTCTGGATCAATTTATTTTTAAACAATTTCAATCAGTCCCTGAAGCTAATGAAAACAGAGGGAGCAAACTGAGAGATTTAGAGATTTTAGATATCTTTTTACAACTTTGATATCCACATGTTCTGCTTTTAATATCACTTTTACATTTCACCACAGTTTTGTTACCATAGTAAAACAGTTTCTTTGGAATCAGTTCTCTTTTAGTTAGTTAACTTAGCCATGGACGCAAACAAGCAGTACCTAACAGGTTAAGAAGGATACACGTAACCGATCCCTGTGTTAAGATGCTAACTCATTAACATGCCCTTATATAATTGGTCTACATATCCGCGAATTGCAATGACTTACATATTTAAATTCGATTACTGCATTACTTGTAGGCTTGTAGCGCAGGAAAAACTATTTACTTGCAAATTCCTTTGATGTTTATTTTTATTGGACAGAATGAAATGTGTAGTAAATAAACTATAAATTTTTTATTACGTTAAAATACATAATTTGTGAAGCACTGGATGCGAGCAGCTCGGTACGGCTAGCACGAAAAACTTTCGAGTTGGAATCGTTTGCGTATTCGAATCGCCATCAAAAGATTTAGAACGAAAATACAACAGCGCCCTTGTGAACGTGTCGTAAAGTGAACTTAGTAGGTATGAGAAATAGTAGCACGAAACTTATTTTGAGAATCAAAATTGTCATGTTATCGTTTAATTTGAAGGTTCAGTATCGAATTTTGTCGAATACGCAAACGATTCGAACTCGACAGTTTCGTGCAAGTCTTACTGGATCGTTAGTTGTGGAAATCCGTGGGGAAACCTTTGTTCAGTGGACAGCATTTTGCTGAACAAACGAACATAATTTGACGATTGTTTGGGATTCATGCCTGGAATGATTCCAGCATTCTTTTAAGTCAAATTATTGTATGAAGCTTTGTAAAAAATATGAAAACGGGACTATTCCCACCTCTCTTTCCCACCACTGCAACTCCTGTGTAGCCAGGATCTACAGCTTGACCGCCAATAAGAACCCAACCAGTGAAGGTCAAGTTTGTCCCGGGGGAAAGTTAACCTGTCATTAGACCCGCAACGAAATTAATCAGAAGAACATAGGAGGAGTTCGAAAATATGAAAAGTATGCTTTGTTTAGTTCTTAAATCATAGCTGAGAATAATATTCGTTATTAGTATAATAGAGAGATATTGCAATAAATCGCAACCGCGTGAAATTGAGGTTATTACTTTAGATTATAATTATTGCAACACAATAAATACTATGATATAGTTCGGTCTTATCCCAATAAGTAAATCATAATTATCAAGAATCAATCTATGAGTAATTACAGGCACTGACGAATGTATGTTAAGCTAAACACTGTGGACTCTTATGTGTTATGTATTAGGGGTGATTTTACAGTACAATGTGTAACCTAATGTGGTAGGTATCTTTGGTACCTCGGAGTTAGCCTGTAATTAAGTAGGATTATCGCGAATCAATTTTCGACCGTCTTAAATTTTGTTGGATCGGTCCGCCACAGAGTTTTTGAATGCGACATTATTGGACTTGATTGAATTTGAAATTAAAATAATAAATAAATAGTTGTAGAGATCTTTATCATTTCATTACGACGTAAATAATATATGTGAAAAGTTTGATAGGGTTACCAATCATATTGAAAACACAGATTGGTAAATCACATAAAATGTGACGTAATAAAAATACCCATACACATTTTATACATAGTTTCAGCAGACTTTTACCTTATTTCCCTTCAAAGTTACTTCATTGAGAGTAAATGCAATAATTATGTATTTGCTTCGGTTAATCCTAAGTTTCATAATAGAGTACTGACTTACGCCCGTATTCACAAACATTACTATGAGGTCTTACAGTGCGTGTGGACGCACAGGGTGACACATGAATCAATGACAAAGCTCTATTCAACGCTGTGCGTTCGATTTGTTGCTTCACTTAAGCATCGTTTGTGAATACGGGCGTAAATGGGCC